GTCTGAATTTTAGTGTGGAATTGTGTTAGAATTTGTTCTGGATTTAGACGGCACTAAAGTCAGCATTGAACAGAGGTGGTTTTGAAATTGGTATTTTTGATACAGAGTGGGGGGGATGGGTTTTTGTAGATTTTAGGGTTTTCCTAATTGCGTAGATATGCAAATGATCTGAAATACCTGCATATATTACACCATACATTGCGTATTTTGAGGGTTGATTTGTTAGGATAAGATCCAGAAGTGAGCTGCGTGTTTTGCCAATTCTTGTTGGAGCTTTGATTAATTGATAAAGTCCAAGTTTCATTGCAGTGTCTTTCAACAATTTTGATGAGCCATCATTCCAGTCAATGTTGATATCACCCAAAATGACAAGCTCCTTTGATGTAACAGATTTAATTATGTCAGAAAGCTGAGATAGATAGGCACTTTCACTGGCTTGTAGGTGACAATAATGGTGATTGGGGTGTGAAATGAATTACCAGCTGTAATGTTTCAGTTTCAATTTTAGATATTGAGTGTGCATATTTCTGATTTACATAGATGGCCACTTCGCCGCCGGTCCTATCAGTGCGGTCTTTACGATATAGTTGATAATTTTCGATGGAGAGAAATGAATCAGGAATAGTGGGAGTTAACCATGATTCTGAGATTGCCATTACATGTGTTTTCGACTGCGCAAGCAGAATTTTAAATTTGTCTAGTTTTGGGACAAGGCTTCAGGTGTTTAAGTGGCAGATTTGAAAACCTCTGATGTCACCAAGTTGACATAAATTAGTTAGGCTTTTTCTTGGGTGAAATGTTTTTCTGTGTGCTTTAGTAGTTTTAACTTTGGGGTCGGGAAAATATATTACAGGGGGTAATGTCGGGAGAGAGGAGGGAGTGATAGTCGGAGATGGATTTCTGGAGTGGGGGAGACAGACGTGAGTTGTGGGCAAAAACATGAGCTGTAGTTGCGGTACAGCAGTAAAAAGTCTGTTGCAATTTGCCTGTGCGTTTAGTCCCCATAAATGCAGTAGAATTAACAAAAAAAATAATTTCATTATGGAAGGGGGTCAGTAGAGGACAGCAAGCTCCACCGGGGTCCAGGTTACAAGGATGGTGCCGTCATCAGGGGAGCCCGTGTTGAACTTGGGTGCCATTACCACTACAAACAGATGTAGAGATAATAAACAGGAATAAAAATGGACAATCGCACTGATTTCTTAATTCTACTCTCTCCCTACCTTTTATTTTTTTATAATTAATGTAAAAAGGAAACAATTTCCAACAACTTGTTGGAAGGAAACAGCAATTTCCTTGACAACCCAGTTCTCAAGGTTTAGCTTTTCATATTTAGAGAATGGGACAGTGCAGAGACATGAATACTGTTTCCAACCACCTGTGATGGCTGCAAAGAGTAGAGACTGAGTGACAAGTCTAGACAAGTAAAAGTAAAAGTTACAATTTCCGATTCCTACATTCATTTTGTTAATACAAATTAGCCTTTATGATGATAAACTGAAATGTGTTCAAAAACTACAATTTCATTCTGTAATCCAATTTCAAACAGTCAAGCCACACTGTGAAATGTATTTGAGTTTCTAATGTAAGACTTTTTTCCACACCTGTCCCAGCTTGGATGGGGTAAGACGGCTGGCTCCGCCCCCCAGAGTTGACGGACATGACACTCAACTTGTATTCTGTGAAGGGCTGCAGCTCCATCACAGTGCCCGGTGAGCTGCTCACCACAGTCTCGGAGAAGAAATCACCAATAACTGACTCTGCCCTCAGGATGTAGCTGGTTGCCCCGGAAACCTGTGTGAACTCCACAGTGATGCTGTCGCTGTGTTTGGAGTAGGCCTGATCGATGCTGGGGACTTCAGGGGCTGGAGAACAAATCATAGAAATTAATCAAATAACAATCTATGAATCTTTTAATCTGTTGTTTTAGGATTCCAACACTTCAGTCAGTTTCTCCATTTTTTTCTTGGATAATATTCTAAATTGTAATTATATTGTCAATGCATTTAAAAAAAAAAAAAACTTTCTTTGACAAGTATTGAAAGCATGTAGTTACTAGTTTCAATCAGAGAATACATTTTATATTACCAAATAAAAAAAAACGTATAAATTACAGCAGGCGCTTATTCAGTTTTCCTTCTCCGTTCATTTTTGTGTGAAAGCAAACAGCAAAAATAAAGAAAACTGACTTTAATAAGCTCCCAAACCAAAGTATTCTTCAAATGTCTTACTTTTCTGTACAGCTGTCCAAAACTAAATATATTAAAGTCAAAAGAATATAGATAAAATCTTATTAGCTTTAAGGAAAAGTCACTTGTATTTTTAATACAATAAGCTAATTTAACCAACTATAAGGTGTTTATATTTGAGGAACAATGAGAATGCAGATTTGCCTGCTTTAAATAAGTTAAGAGTCTGAGGAGAACGCTATAGAAATTTAAGTTTAGTGTGGTCAGGAGCAGCCACATTTCATTCTTTATTCAAAGGAAAGTATCTGAATCTGAGCTTATCACCAGTGGTCTCTGCACTGCTGAGCACGTTGAATGTGTGATCCAGCTGCATGATGTACACTGTGTTTGGGGACAGGGACTTGAGCTATGTTCCCACAGCCCTATTTAACCACATTTCTAAGATTTTTCTCAAAATTAGGCCCTATGTTCCCACATTTCTAGGACATTTTCAAAATTAAGTATTGTGTTCTTACATTTCCCTTCAATTTAAGCCCTATCCTCCCACAGACAGCCTGAGGTTGGTGATGAAATAACTCAGTGCAGAGTCAGGTTTGTGCGTGTGTGTGTCTGTGTGTGAGACCATTTGTTGGAAAGTTATACAGGCTCTTGGACTGCTTGTATCTTATTTTTGGGGCTAGATTCTTCGAATGTCTACGAGGGCCTTCCATGTGGTTGCTAGATTTTTAACAGGTCCATGGTGTGCACCTCACGTGTGTGGGACACTCATTCAATTATTTTACATCACAACTCAGCAACAACTTTTTCCCCTGTGGTTAATAATAAACCTGTTACATAAACTTGCCTGAAACCACTGTCAATATTTAATGTGGTACATTTGAAAAAAATTAGCATTAAACATTTACCGATTTAATTTGCCCCAAGATTGAACTTGTTGTGTGTCATCACCCTGCACTTATTTACAGTGAATGGTCCTGAATATTTCCTGCTGCGTTCACGCATGAGTTCAGCCCAACTTCTTGTAAAGTACTTAGGTCCCTAGCTGGAAAAATTATAAGTAAAGTTGAAGTGAATAGGTCTGCATCTTGAAGCTCAAACTGAAAATGTTGGGAAATTTGTGTGAAAGAGGCTATTGATATCTACATGCTTATATGTTATGCTAGGATTATGAAATACCTATCTGAAGGTGTGTGCAGGTATGTTACAGGACTGTTTTTTTTTTCTGCAGACAGTTATGCGATGATTTATTTCCCCCCGAGTTACTTCATGTCAGCTCATTTTTTCCTTATGTTGACTGTCTCGATCAACAAGATTCTTATCTCCACTGACACACGTCTCAACAGGTTACACAAATTGTAAAACAAGAATCAATCCTGCACTAACCTGCACACACTCACACACACACACACACACACACACACACACACACACACACACACACACACACACACACACACACACACACACACACACAAAAGACAAGAGTACCTGCTTTTTGTGTCTTGAGGTAACACTTGTTATGAGTTGACCCTATACAAATAAAAAATGATTGATTGACACACACACACACACACACACACACACACACACACACACACACACACACACAAAGACAAGAGTACCTGCTTTTTGTGTCTTGAGGTAACACTTGTTATGAGTTGACCCTATACAAATAAAAAATGATTGATTGACACACACACACACACACACACACACACACACACACACACACACACACACACACACACACACACACACACACACACACACACACACACACACACACACACACACACACACACACACAAACACACACTAAACAGGAGCCCAGCAGTGGCCTTGAGTATATTTACCATCCTGGATGCACTATCACAGGTAACATTGTCCATGGACTCCAGTCAAGGCCATCACATACACACACACACACACACCTGACAAGCACACAAGTACACGCATGCACATATAATTCACGCATAGCACACATGGATTCCTGTCCTAGAGGATCCCACAGAGATAATGTTGGAGTTTGAAAACTTAACAGAATCACACAGTTTAGTCTGACCCTAAGATTCGGCCATGTCCCAAGTCCCTGTGATATTCTCTCACACACACGCACGCACACACACACACACACACACACACACACACACACACACACACACTCACACACAAACACATATAGATCTTAATATGGAATCCTCCGCCTGTTCAGATCATGTCATTGCTTTGTGGTTTGATTTCCCTAAAAAGGATGAATCTCTCCCCTCGCTGGGGCAGGGAAGGGAGGAGGGGGACACTGTGTGATACTAATTGGAAATACTCAAATTATAACGCGCTACATATACATTTAGTCCATTTCTGCTGAAATTCAGTGAACTGATTGTGATCTGGGAGAAAGATTCTATCTTTTTTCACTCCTATTTAAAAAGTATTTAAGAATATCATGTGACTATGTTGATGTGGGATAATCAGAGTTATTCCACTGAGATACATTTTAATAATATTATATACTATATAAACGGATTCATATATTACAATAGTATTGATATGCAGGACCTGTTGAGATGGGTTTTTTTTAAAAGACCCTTGAGTAAAGTGAACTTCAGCTCCTAAGATCCTGAAACACATGATGATTGATCACAGATTAGATCTTCATGCTCAGTTATACAACAGATGGAGAAAAAAACTGAGTTTTTGCTGTTCGAGTCCAGTGATGACATCACACCTGTTCTGTAAATCCATCCTCCAGCCCTGCCTACAGTTCAAAACAGGTATAAAAGCCCTGCCACACACTGCTGCGTTGTTCATACACACACACACACACACACACACACACACACACACACACACTGGTTACACACACAATCTACAGCCTATTTACACACACTGTTCTCTGCAGGATTTAGTCCTTGTCTGAGTGTGTTTGGTCAGTGTGGCGCTTTCCCCTTGGTTGGATCTTCCTCTCATCATCGTCAGCATGATTATCAGCATCGCTTTGATCTGGGCCGTCCTGGTGGGCTTCTGCTGCCTGCTGTGGCTTGCTGTGGGAACACGCCGCAGGTAAGACCTCACCTGTACGATGCAAAGTTTAACATGGTGTGGAGAGTGCATGAACAGAAATCTCCTCATGAAGACCTTCAGTTGGTTGCACACAGTTTTACACCCGTCCCTGTGTTTTTCCGGGCGAGCCTCAATAGTGATCCATGAGGCCCCTGATGTAACAATCGCTGTGAGTGACAGACGTAAGTGAGCGGTGTGTGCTTGTCAAACAAAGGCCTTTGTAAAGATGATGGAACTAGTTGGGTATGTTGTTGAGTCACATCACTGTGCTGACATGTGTGAAGCTGCTGTTTACTTTACTCGTGTTCAGAATTATACAGTTAAGGAGCGTATTTAAAAAAGAAAAGAAAAATGTATAATACTTCATCAGCTTTAGATTCTTGGACAAATTTTGGATGTAAAACATACATCTTTTAAAAGAGGATTCTCATGTTTAAAAGAGCCTCGTGATGACATTCAGGCCGGTATGTACAAACAACAACAATAACATTGGAAACTGGTTTGTGATGTTCTTACACTTGACGTTGTTGGTCGTTGGGAGAGACGAAGAACAACTTTAAAACTGTGACACTCAAAGAGGAGCTCTGAATGAGTTTGAATGAATCATCCAAGAAAAGAGGTGCAGCAGGCTGAACATCTTATTTATCTCTGAAATGTTTTGGAGGTATATACCAAGACCATGAACTTTGTTGTCCCTGTTTTTTAGGTCATCCCCCATTTTTCTCTTCTCTTCCCTTATCTCTCTGATTGTCACTTCAAAATAATACATAATTGTTCAGGTAAAACATCATTAACAACATTATTGAACATCATTTAGTGAAGTTAGGTAGCCATAGTTGAACTGTAAGACCTCTTCGAAAACCAATGGGTGATTTTATACTGAGAATATGTCAATATTTTTTTTTTATTGCCCCATTCTGACATCCAGCAGTGAGTTTCAACATGTCCTTTCCCTCCATTGTTCACACCCTCAGGCAACCAGGTGAGCCTGCCGTGGAGAACGGTTTCATCCCGTACCTGGGGTGTGCTTTGCAGTTCGGGGCCAACCCTCTCCAGTTCCTCCGCAGCCGCCAGAACAAATACGGACACATCTTTACCTGCAAGATCGCCGGCCAGTACATCCACTTCCTGTGTGACCCATTTTCCTACCACTCGGTCATCAGACAGGGCAGACACCTTGACTGGAGGAAGTTCCACTTCGCCACCTCTGTCAAGGTCTGTTTTTAATTCATCTTTTATTTTTTGGACTAGGATGTTTGCCCACATTTCATTCTGCATGTGAGTCCTGTGATGGTCCTAAACCTGCTCTTTCTCCTCTCTGCAGGCATTCGGCCATGACAGCTTCGACCCTCGACACGGTCACACCACGGAGAACCTCCACCAGACTTTCCTGAAGACCCTGCAGGGGGAGGCTCTGCCCTCCCTCATAGAGTCCATGATGGGCCACTTGCAGGACGTCATGCTGAAGTCAGACACACTCAGTCCCAGCAAGGACACCTGGGAGGTGGACGGCATCTTTGCCTTCTGCTACAAGGTCAGTAAACAACTTTAGACCAGTAATATACAAGAGACAAAGGAGTCAGGAAGAGGCATGACACACAGAAACAAAGAGGAACTATAGCTCTGACATCTTGCACTGATTCTGCAGATTCTCCACCTTTTGAACCATGTTTCAACAGTCCTGATAGGTGTCCTTGTGTCATGCAGGTGATGTTTGAGTCTGGATATCTTACCCTGTTCGGTAAAGAGTTTGGTGATGATAAGTGTCAGGCTCGGCAGGAGGCTCAGAAAGCTCTGGTTCTGAATGCTTCAGAGAACTTCAAAGAGTTTGATAAGATCTTCCCAGCGTTAGTGGCCGGTCTGCCCATCCACGTCTTCAAGAGCGCCTACAGCGCCAGAGAGGTCAGTAAGGGTTCAATGCACATGTTACAGACAAAAAGAGAGAATCTGAGAACACAGTGCCTCGCTGTGAGATTTATATGATGAAATCAACTAAACTGAATGTCCTCTTTTCAAATCTAAAGAACCTGGCAAAGACCATGCATGCTGAAAACCTGTCAAAGAGAGAGAACATGTCTGACCTGATCTCTATGAGGATGCTTCTCAACGATTCTTTATCCACCTTTAATGATATAAGCAAAGCCAGGACACACGTAGCTCTGCTGTGGGCTTCACAGGCCAACACCTTGCCCGCCACCTTCTGGAGCCTCTTCTACATGATCAGGTGAGTCCTCTTTCTAAACACTGTACAGACTCAGAAGACTGACACAACAATTCAACCCAGCAGGCGGCAGAGAGTTCTGGTCTGTCTGACACAGAGATTTGTGTCATCTGCATAACACATTAAAGCTCAAGGCGATATAAGTGGTCACCAAGTACTGAGGGGCACTGGCACCAGCGTCATGTTTGAATGTAGCCACAAATAGTGAACCTACGGCCAGATTTACAACTTCCAAAGTACCATCTCCCTCTACTCAGTATATTTCACTCTCCCACTCATCCAACCACTCACTTACTCACTAGTCACAAATGGAATAGAGGAGTGATTACACAGCATTTAGGTGCATGTTGAAAAAAAAAACAACTTTGTGATCGTTCCGGAAAAAAAGACAGGGTAAAATAGTCTCTCACGTAATTCCTTTATTACTTGGGGCGGCAGTGGCTCAGTTGGTAGAGTCAGTAGTGTCTTCACCAGATCGGGAGATCGATCCCCAGCTCCTGCAGCCACACGTCCGATGTATCCTTGGAGAAGACACTTAACCTTGAGTTGCTCCTGTTTTCCGCACTCAGCATCCTAAGCAAAAAAAACACCCTCGGTGTCAGCTTTGTTTAATTGCTGCACTCACAGCACTCTCAGTTTAAATAGTTAAACTTTTTGAACTCCTCAGTTTTCATCAACAGCACATCTATCTCACCGACATATCAGACAGAAGAAAGACAGGCCCAGATGGTTACTTTGAGCTTTATTTACAATATATTGTAGAGTTAATTTAAGAAGAACAGAAAATGGTTTTCAGAATAGCCTTATAGTTCTGAACCATCCAATCTCAAACTCAGCCCTCTCACTCTGTGTAAACAATTATTAGAGATGATAGCTCTTTGTCTACAGATCACCTGGAGCCTGGGTGGCAAAAGTAATAGTGGCAAAAATAAATCTATATTTATCGACATGATATGTTCCACGCACATGTGACCAGTCTAACTGGCTGGTGTAGCTTGGTAATACGTAATAAGTGTGACATACAGTTTGTTTGTGGACTTATGGCAAATGTTGCTTGCTAAGAAATAAGCTATCACACCTGTCAGACTACTACATTAGAGCGAATCCACTGAATTATACAGGACACTTTGTGGAGTCTGTTAATGTGTCGTCTGATCTCATATCACCCTCTGTACTGTGGAGCTGGAGGTATTACATCATATTACTGCACATTTATCAGCGTCAAAAAGCTGATTGTAGCACACAGACCCATAAAGTTCAGATCAATGAGATAATTCACATGGATAGTGTTGTTGGGTTCAAGGAGCCGCCTCACAGTGATGTAACAAGTCTGACATAAAGACATATCAGGTGGAGATTTATGATAGAGATTCAGAAAAAACTCAGGCCAATTCATAAAAGTCTCTCAGCGTTAAGAATCTCCTGACTTCCTGACCTGACATTCAAAATAGTCATCCCAAAGTCCATGACAAAAGAAATATTTTGAAGGTGATTTGCTTCTGTTCTTGAAAACTGTCCTGATACATCTGAGAGAATCTGTTCATGTTGGGTTCATAGCACTGTAAGACATATTTCAGCTGACTTAATGTGTGACTTGTTTGAGACACCTCTTTAGTAACCAATGGGTGATGTCACTGCTACAGTAATACTAACTAGTCTCTCGTTTGTGTGCTCAGGAGTCCAGATGCTATGAAAGCAGCTCGTGAGGAAGTGCAGAAAGTTCTGGAGGTTTCCGGTCAGAAGGTCAACCCCAGTAACCCTACACTGAACCTGAGCAGAGAGCAGCTGGACAACTTGCCTGTTCTGGGTAAGATCTCCACCAGTCACTAGAAAATAACCAGGACCTGTACACAGACCGATGATAGTACAGAGTAAAGATTAAAAGTTGAGACTGTGAACTGTGATTTATTTTGTATTTCTTCATGTCCACAGACAGCATCATTAAAGAAGCCATGCGGCTCTCAAGCGCCTCCATGAACGTACGCATTGCCAAGGAGGACTTCCTGCTTCACCTTGACAACCAGGAAGCTTACCGTATAAGGAAAGATGATGTGATAGCCCTGTATCCTCCCATGCTGCACTTTGACCCGGAGATCTACGAGGATCCATATGTAAGAGCCTTAAATACATCATGAATTAAAATCCTCTATAGTAGGGCTGACATGGTACCAAAAGTTGAAACGTTGATAATACAAATTATAACCATACCTGATCCAATACCAGGGAAATGTTTGCCTCTGATGTAGATGCATTATTCTTCGCCTATGCACCTGTCTTATAAAACAGATGTAGATTTTTTTTTTTAAAGCTTTGGCACTTTTAGATCGTATTGATCCATTTAAACAACACAGATTTATGAACATGTGGAATCCAAAAGTATCGAATCTTTGGACAGTCTGTCTTTAAAAAATGAGCTGAAAATCACCTCCCTCCTCCTCTTCCTGCAGGAGTACAAGTTTGACCGTTTCCTGGACGAGAAGGGTCAGGAGAAGACCACCTTCTACCGCGGCGGGCGCCGCCTGCGCTACTTCTACATGCCGTTCGGCTCAGGGGTCACCAAATGTCCGGGCAGGTTCTTCGCAGTGCACGAGATCAAACAGTTCCTGACTCTGGTGCTTAGTTATTTCGAGATGGAGCTGTTAGACCCAGCCACCAAAGTCCCTCCTCTGGACCAGAGCCGAGCCGGTCTGGGGATCCTGCAGCCCACATATGATGTTGACTTCAGGTACAAGCTGAAAGCCAACCACTAGACTGTGTCAGAGACTGAAGGACAAACTGTACAAAGTGTATATTTAATGAAGATAATGTAAATAGACAAAACTATTTATAGATACTTTATAGATAAATGTAAAGTGTGGAAGTTGGAGCCTCATAATGAAGACCCACACTATGTGCCATAACGCAGGTTCAGGACACTAAAAAAGGGCTGTTGCCATACCAAAGTTACTATTAAAAACCACACAAATGGAAATGATGACAATCAATTTGTACTCTCTCTCTCCTTCTCTCTCTCTCTCTCTCTCTCTCTCTCTCTCTCTCTCTCTCTCTCTCTCTCTCTCTCTCTTTCTCTCACTCATGGCAGCTTTTAGTTAAAAATATGACTGAAGATCATTCTTTTTTTAATACTATCCATCATTTAAACAACAGAGATTGTATCATTTCAAAGCACCTGATATCACAGATTCACCTGTACTGTATTCAAAATGTCGACAACCTTATTTAAAAACAGTTATCAGTGGTGCTTCGTGTGCACGATGGGCTGAACACACAAAAATAATTTCTTCACCTAAATATGTCAAGTGTTATTATTGTGCTGTGAGACATGTTGTGTTGATTACATGCGTTTGAAATAAACACAAGCTGCTTGTGCCAAAGTACAGAAGAACCTGTGCAACATGAACTCATGCATCGTCCTTTTTCTCATCATCTCGTGAAATCCTGTGATCTGTTATAATTGTCAGATCTTTTTTTGTAATGTTTGTGATGATGCTCAACTGCGATCAGTATCTTTTCTGGACTTTAGCTCATAGAAGGAAAAGGAGCATCAATCAGCTGTAGAGTTTAACACATCAGACAGTCAACAAAGACATGTGTGAATGTTTACTAGTGCTGACCTTTTTTATGTACCTTATATCTGCCCTCTCAGTGTCATTATAGGTGCTTCATGATGTGATAACATGTGGTTCACAGTGAGCACAGAGAACATTTACTTTCTGTGTTTGTCAAACGGATGAGCAGGCTGAAAAGTCCAGACACAGGACAGTAAATATAACCTACAGATCTATGACAGAGATCTGTAGTGGAGTTGGCATTCAGATGTAGTGCAGTGAATAGATGCTGCTCTGCACAGTCAGTGTGATGCATGCTCTCTCTAAAGGTGTTACTGCAGGTGCACACACACACAGGTTGTGTCTAAAATCACACACTCCTTTCTTACTCCCTGTTCTCGGGGAGATCTCTGTAGTGGACTCATTTTGGACATTACTCCTGGCAACGATAATTATGGCTTTGTGCTCTCACAACTGAAATGTAAAGATAGAGGATTATTAATAACAGTAAATAATGCATGGCATAAATTTCAGTGATAACTTATATAAGCTTATTTTTGCAGAAAAGTTAAGTATAATAAATACATATAAAGTATTGAATTCCTTATAAATTGTTAAACATATTAAACTCATTTATTAGTGTCTCGTCACTAGTCATCATCATCAGGAGAAACTAAAGTTACAGTGTTGAAAATCCTTTCCCTCTTTATTGAAACACCATCCAGATCTCTGTAAAAATGCCCCCAAATATGAACTGTTCTGTGTTCAGTGATGATGCTGGTCACTCCTCTCATCCAGGCCCCGAATGGCTCATTTCTGAAATTGTGGGGCATGTGTGTGCGCCTGGGAAACATCCAGGTATATTAACGGCCGCTCCAGGATATATTTTTCGCACACACGATCAGCATTTCAGACAAATGAAGTCGCTCTTTGAATGCATTTGTTGCAGTGCGACGTCTGGTCTTTTAGTCACACATTAGATAACCTTCGCTCGCAGTGCAAACCCCCTTTTTACAAAAGCTTCTCTCCCTCATTAGTCAAAAACGTGCATTTAAAGGTAACGGTGGGTCCGCTCACAGAAGAGGGACTCGTCCATAAGAGAACAGTAAAATATAACTTTCCACTCATTGTAGATTTACCCCGCACTACACGATTGTTTATATTAATTGGCTTGTGAACATCAGTCGTAAACATTTCCACAATGCAGTGTGGGATGAATGACTCCACTATAGGGTCTGATAATGCTCCCTCAGAGTGTGGACAGCACAACAACATGGCGCATTATAGTGCAATGTAAAATGAGTACTATAGTGTGTGATTGGGACACGGCCACAGTTTGAGAAGCCGTCTTTGTTTCTGTCTTATATGATGTGAGTGTCTGTGGAGAAGCAGACTGTAAATAAACAGCTGTTCACCTTTTAATCCCAACAATAATTAGTGTGAATGATAACAGAGGCAGGTTGTATTTAAGTTAGACTTTTGCATGTTTAACTGGTTTACGTCATGGAGAGTTTGGACAGAAAGCAGGATGACTGCACGCGCAAAATAGGTATTAGTGGAAGAGGCAAATCAACTCAAAATATTTTCGAGTTATAGCAGATAAATCTGAGTATTACAAAAATAAAATTTGGCTTATTAGAAAACCTCGGCATTAAACAGGGCCTCTATTTTCTTCCCTCCATCTTTTGAATGAATTTTCATACATTGCGCAGGAGGTGCGAGCTGTCTCCTCTGTGACACGGACGCTCATGCACGACACTCGGTGCGTTGTTGTGCACCAGACAGCTGGCCAGCGCTGTATCTGATCGGACATAAATGCTCTGGAAAGAGGTATCAGACGGAGGTACAAACAGTGGTGAGGTCCCCCAATCCAGCGGACTTTAGAGGGAGGAGCTCACCAGAGAGGGCGAGCTGGGGGAGAGACGCGCGACCCGAGAAAAAATAAATCCCCAGTTTAAAATATAATGTTGGCGAAAGAGGAAAATAGGAAGACATAAATGACAATGTTAAAATTCTTTAGAATGCAGAGGCTGTGAATGTTCAGTTTTGTTTGGCTATAATTTAAAGGGATAGGCTACTTCACCGGTTAAAACATGAATCTGTATTGACATTGGGTCATATTTGTAGTAGGAATGTGAAATAAATGCTGAAGTTGGTACCTTCTTGACTGAGAAAAGGCAGAAAGTCTCTTATTGGCTCATGTGGATGAAAGACAACAACTCCCAGAATGCACAGCACCGCAGGCCACTCCCACTGAAGCTAGGGTGCTCTTGGAAATTCCTGTCAGAAAACAGACTCTATGTGTGTCCATAGGCAAACAGTGAGAGCACCGACACTACCAGTCCACCCCAGCTCGAGCCGGCCCTGGCTCCTTGTCCTCACCGCCGCCGACTGTCAGGTCGGCTGCAGCAGCCGCAGCAGGAGACCTGACTGTCGGCATCAGCTGCCTCGTCGCTATATTGCGGCCCTTAGAGATAGCCACGAACAGCCGATTCGAGCACAAGACCTTCAAAATCCACTTCATCCATATCAGTTTGAAGTTGAAACATACTTTTATCATACTTTTGTTCTTAACTTTCTCCATAGAGCCTGTTAGCATAGCTACCAAGCAATATGGCGGGCGTTGAGTTTTGATTCTGGAAGTGAGGTCCCACCCACTGATCTGTAATAGGTCTGTAGCTTCAGTGCTAGTTAGAATAGGCAAAAACCATCACTTACTAAGTTTGAAGTCATTTGTAAGATTAAGGTTAGCTAGATTTGAAAATTACACAGAAACACTGCAGACACACATGCAGTGAGTGAATTCTTTGCCAGCTAATATTAGCTTGAAAAACAGATCTTAACAGTTGCTAAATGGGACAAAAAAAAAAAACATTTTCTTGTAATGTGGTTAACTAAGTGGGCTATAATGAACTTACTTGCCTGGTGGTAATGGTAAGGTTAGCTAACATCAACAGTCACTTTATATTTGTTTCAGCTTCAACTGACACTGACTATTGATTAAATATTGAATTAGAAATGATGATTAGGGCCTACTACGCAATATGGCCATGGTATAAATAGTATAATATACAGTATTTGAAAATGTATAATAGGAAACTTCAGTGAGACTGTCAGAATGGACCTGGAGCATGTTTTTTGTTTTTTACTGTTTTAACACATAAAGCTGCTGCTATACATCCTGAATTCATGTACTACCAGGACTTATTTTTATTCATACTAGGTCTACTTCATACTTTTACTTTACTTCTTTGTATATGGAGAATATTCAGAAAGGATTGTCCATATGATAATGTTCACTGTTCAGCTGGAGCTGCTTTTGTTCGAATGTTGTTGTTTCCCTTTACAGAATCCTTGTTATGTGGCAGTTTCAGTCTGGAAGGAGAAATCAGAGGGAGGTGCAGGTCCAGGGACCCAGTTTCCCTCAGAGGACAGGTTGTTTATTCAGTTTTGAAACTATAACAGATTTTTTTTCACTTCTGTTTAAAATGTATCTACCAAAACTCTTTTATTCACTTTTTATACATTGGAAATGGCCTTTGCTAAATGTCTTAATGTAAATATTTGTGCTAGATTTTTTGCCTATTTAACCTTCATGTTCTTAAAGTGTATTTTCTTTGTTTATGTCACAGTTTAAATAAAGACAGATGTGGTTTGAGAAGACAGTTTTAAGTTTTATTATTTGTCTTAATATTTTAAGTTGCAATTTTAAAGGCACTGTTTATTTATTATTTTAAAACATGGTGTTTTATAACCTGACAAGCAAGGAATCATTTATCATATCACTAGGTTTAGAAAATAAATATATTGTGTCCATTTTGGTAGAAGGAAATTAATCTATAGCTAGGTGTAGTATTTACAATTCACAGTAAAAATCTGCAAATAAACAATATTAAACAGTTAATTCTTTCAACAGTATTTTCCTGTTAAGGTTTAAAATCACAGCTTTTTGCTGTATTTACAAAAATGGTAGAAAACTGTAAATTTCAGCAACAGCAATATACCGTTAATTTTACAGTAACTTCCTGGCAACCCTACTGCCAGTTGTTTACCGTTTTTTAACAGGGGGAATTTCTAAGAGTGCACATTGCATATGCATGAAGGAAAACATGCTAAATGGACAATGCAGATTGTTTTGCTCATATGAAAGGTGCAATCCTCACTGCGTGCCGGTAGAAGATCAGATAAAACATATTTTGCTGGTGGTATCAAGTTTGCACACGTTTTAAGACACGCAGACCTTTAGTAAATCAGGTACATACTGTACAAACAGATAATAAATCATTTGCAAACCCATCTGAGCGTCCTTCTGACGTCTACATGTTCAACAAACAAAAAACGTACTCTTCCAAGAAACTCTGTACACATTCGTCTGACTCTCCCCATCCTCCCCCTCTCTCTGTCTGACTCTCTCTATTACTGTCTCTTGCTGTCTGTCTGACTCTCTCTCTCTGTCTGTATCTCTCTCTGTCTGTCTCTCGCTGTCTGTCTGACTCTTTCTCTCTGTCTGTCTCTTGCTGTCTGTCTGACTCTCACAATTCTCCTCCTCTTACTGTCTGTCTCTCAATTCAAACTGGCTTATTGGGATGGAAAACATACATTTAGATTGCCAAAGTGGGAAATCCAACACAAAATTAACAAAAAGAAAAAAAACAACAGAAAGGAAAAATATAAAAAACAGAGCTGTGCAGAAAAAACTTCCATAACACAAACATATGTTGACTTCCAACATAAACGTTTAATCAATCACAACACAATGTCATAAAAAACACTAACATCAGATGGAATAACAGAAACTACATTAGTAGTTTAGTTTACAGTGTTTGGTTTTGAGCATGAAATTAACTGTTTT